CTTAGACCCTAAACCCTAAACCCCCTAAACCCTAAACCACTGCACTTTAAAAAGAAATGTCCTACCCTAAACCGACCTCTGGAGGTGGCAAAGAATCCCCACGTCGATGCTTTTCGAGAGCACTGGGCGGTGAAGCCGCGCATACGTGAGCTTATGCAGCTGACGCCCGGCTCCGTTTCAGAGTCTATAGGGCTATAGGGTTTAAGGTTAAGGGTTTCAGGGTTGTGGATTTAGGGGGTTCAGGCTTCAGGGTTTAGAGTTTCGGAGTCGAGGGGATGGGCTTTTAGGATTGAAATGTTGCGGATTCTCGGAGTCTTGAGTTAGCTTGGTGGTTGATCCATGTCAGGGTTGAGGGGCGATGTCCGGGCGACGGCAGAGTTAGGCTTGGTAATAAGCGGGTAAAATCTATTCTGTGAGAAGCGCAAGAGACCTTGTTGAGGGCTCCTTGTTATGATTTCTTTATATAAGTCCTTACAAAAGGTAGGTTATTTGGGGTTAAGGTAGCATAGGGTTTCGGGAGTTTCGGCTTGGGTTGGGGGGTTTAGGGTGTAGCTTCTGCACACGCTGTGCGTGGTGCCCGGACATCGACAGGTCGACAGGTTGGTCCTGTTCCATTTTCGGCAGCATCTCTTGTTTAGCAAATCCTGGTCAATCTTGCCATTAACCCGAAATCCAAAGTTTTAAACTCTATACCCGCGGCCTTCAAATGTTTCTCCCTAGAATCAGCACAACTCTGATGGACCCTGGGAACATTCGAGTACTTGACGCAGTGCTTCCCTGTAGCTGTAGGATCAACACCACTCTGATGAACATTGCATTCGGCTTCCAATGCCCTATGTACACCCAAGCACTAAACCCCAAACAAAGCCTAAATCCTGGCTGCCGAAGCGGCCACACGAGGGTTCTGTTGTTGTGTACGGTGCGTTATAGGTGTCTACAGTGCCCATGTACTAGTTTCAGGGTACAGGGGTTTCTACATAGCATCTTCAGGGCCAATGTATACACAAAATGTGTACATGGACCATAAACCCTAATCCCTAATCCTCAGACCTTATGGGACCCTTTGGGAAAAAACTCCTGAAAGGAACCCCGTTAACGGGAACCCTTAAAGGAACCCATTAAAAGCACCAAATGAAGAAACCCCCACGACCGAGGCTGGCTGACGAGACCACCAGTGGAGCTGCGCAGGAGGTGCTGTCGGCTCGACGTGTGGAGGACTCACTGTTTAGGGTTTAGGGTTTAGGGTTTAGGGTTTAAGGTTTAGGGTTTAGGGTTTAGGGTTTTGGGTTTTGGGACTTGCATCCGAAGGAACCGACATGTTCCGGGCCTCTCATTATGTTTTGCACTGGTGTAAGGCTTTAAAGAGGTAGGTCATGGGTTTAGGGTTCCTGAGTTTGTAGTTTAAGGTTTAGGGTTTCTCGGTGTGTAGTTTACGGTTCAGGGTTTCTCGGTTTGTAGCTTTGGGTTTCGGGTTCCGGCGTTTGTGGTTTAGGGTTTTCTCCGTGAGTAGTTTAAGATTTAGAGACTCTCGGTTCGTAGTTTGGGATTTAAAGCTTTCCTGATTGTAGTTTAGGGTTCTTGGGTTTTGGTGGATTTGGGATTCATGTTGCGTTGATGTTGTTTTGGACCTCGCGGATTTTCGCGCGGAGTTTCGGTGAAAATGTAAAGGTTACGAGCGGCTTTAAAAGAATCCGCGCAGAATCCACGCCAAAACCCGCGCAACTCCGAAGCAAATGCTTAACACCACGCCACATCAAAATCCGCGGAAAAATCCGACGCCGCAGAAATTCCACCGACAGAAACATCCGGGCCACAACCCACGTCGTTCGAGCAGAAATCCACGTGTAGCCGGGCAATGGGTTGTGATGAAGAGTACATCAATCTTTCGCCGGAATTAAGGTGAAAGCATCTGGCCTTATGTGGGAGGCCAATCTCGGCTCGAAAAGAATCCCTAAGGGTCCATGTACCCAAATAGTACATACATTGGCCCTAAAGTACCCATATAGGGACTACATTAAGGCCAAAGTATCTACTATTTTGGTACATGGACCCTTAGAGAATGCTGGCTGCTCCGTCGCATAGGTGCTTGCCCTCGCGTTCCCAAGCCTCGAAGCTTGGAAAGGCATAAACAGGTTAGATAGGTCCCATCAACTACAGGCAAAAGAGGCACGGTAAAACTTCACTACAAATTTCTGGTCCCTGGCAGTGATAACAGTTTTATGTTCAGAATCCTGCAAGGTAACCCCAAAAACCGGAACTACGTGGGAGATTATAGGTAGGACCCATGGTGCGGTTTTGACTATGGCTAATATCTGAGGTTCAAATGGCCTGATCGATTGCGCATCGCCCCCGTAGGAGCGGCGTAAAGCTGGATAGCCTTTGAACAGTGTCTTGGACTTGCGAGCTCTCGGCCCGTCATCCGGCAAATAATTATCAACCCGACAGGTTCTAAGGCTCTGAGGCTCTATGCATGAAGGCCTTCACAAGCTCTGAACCACAAAGCCCTTAAGTGTAAATCTGAACCCTGAAGCCCACATTTCTTCACCAACCCTGGCCACAAGAACTTTCTTGTCTCCTTACCCGATTTGCCGTATCAATCCTAAACCATCCAGATTTCCGGAAGGATTCGTCCCTCTGGCTACAGTACACGGTGCCTCGGAATGCTTACTTACTTGCTTAGCCAATGAGAGAACTTTAAGCTTGTTGGCCTTATGGCTTCGAAAGTTAGAGTCTTGTTTGGGCCCGGTCGTTGAAGAAGAGCTCACTAGCAGAGTAACCAGTGGTAGGGGCTACCCTAACCGCCCTAACCTTTGTGTATTCGTTCAGGTGAGCCGTTTGTTCCCCCAGGAAGCCCTTCATCCCGAGCTGTAAGCCAAGTTCCGGACAAAAAGGAATGTTCGGGTGAAATGTGGCTCCACTGCTTTAGTGCTTGAGGTTTCGTATCGAGGGCACAGGTGGGGATGGGGTTTAGAGTGTACCCATTAAGCAGCATCTAGGGGAAACACAGTAGTAGCACAACATGCATATAGGTTACTGCATGATGAGCGTTAGGGTGTATTTCGAAACAGTCTCTCTTGCCGTCGGAGTCTCAGATGTACGACCTTAGACCTTATGCTTTTTGATTGTTTTGGGCAGTCTTTCTCGAAGACTTTGATTTAGAGTGCGGGCATCATGTTTGGAATTTTGGGTTTACTTGGGCTCGGTGCTGGTCAAATAGCATCCGCCCCTAAACCCTAAACCCTAATCCCCAATTAGGCGTCAGGCTTGGGGATCAATCTTTGGGGATTTTGAGGGATCTGGGACTGTGGACAAACCCTAGACCCTAAACCGTAAACCCTAAACCCGAACCCCACTTCCCAAAAACAGGCCGGAAAGGTGCTGAGTTCCTACTCGGGTTCCTTTAAGGGCTCCTTTTTGGCATTATTTTGGGGTTTAGGGCTTCTTTAAGGGGTTTCCTAAGTACCGATATAGTAGAATGCAGGGTTTCTATAATAGGATCTTTTTATTAACCTCGCGCAGCCCGCAGAACTCCCTAACCCCAAAAACCCTAAACCCCAAATCCCTAAACGCCTAAATCCCTAAACCCTAAACCCTGAAAACCCTGAAAACCCTAAACCCTAAACCTCAAGATTTAAACTCCTCATAAGCCGAAAGATCGAAAGCAGACGCTGCAAATCCTTCGAGGGCTGTTTTGGGCTCGTGGTTTTGGACTTGGGCCTCCACCAAATCCGAAGCCCCAAAACCTGATATTCTATATATTCTAAGGGTTTAGGGCTTTGGGTTCATATGGCTATGCAACTCATTCAGCCCGAAATCCTAAACCTTTAAAAGCCCAAAACAGCGCAAGGACTTCAAGCGATCCGTCCTGGAATCGCTGCGCGAGTCGGGGCAACTGCGCTGCACACCTCCGCAGGAGAAGAACCCCTGAGCCATAGCTTCAGGGCTTAAGGTTTAGGGTGCAGGGAGCTCCCTGGTGAGTTGGGAAAAAAAGAAAGCCTTGATTCAAAGCCCTACATCGAAAGCATGTGAGCCATAACCCTGAGGGTCCAAGTACCTAAGAATCACAGACTCTCCCACATGCTCTCCTGGTACCTAGACCTTGGGACCCTAAACCCTAGACCCTAAATTTTCCTAAATCCCTAAAGCCTAAACCCTGAATCCCTAAACCCTAAATCCCTAAACCCTGGACCCTAGACCCTAAATCCCTAAATCCCTATAAACCCTAAATCCCTAAATCCCTAAACCCTAAACCCAAAGCCCTATAAGCCCTAAAAACAAAAAGTACCCTACTTCAGGAGCTCCGAGGCGGACTGGGAAACGCTTCCCTCTGGGCGGAGCTGGATGCGGAGCGCCTGGAAGCCCGAGATCTCTCGGACTCTTGGGCTATTTTAGGGGTTTAGGGTTTAGGGGTTTCGGAGTTTAGGGTTTCGGGGTTTAGGGGTTTGGGGCTTCAGTGTTTAGATTTCGGGGTTCTGGGATTCAGGGTTTTCTAACTCAGGCTTTAGGGTCTTTTGGGGGGTTTAGGGGCTCAGGGTTGAAAGGCTGCTTCGTTGTTGTTGGGTCCTTTTGTTATGTTGGTGTGAGGCTGGAGGTCAGGATATAGGGGCTTAATATAGGGACCTCAATAACTAGAATCGGGTTTGGGGTATTTTGTACTATAACTATAATAAAGGAACTCCCCAAAACCCTGTTAAATTATTAAGGCCCCTACATCAAGAGCAGAAAGCCTCTTCGGAACAATTCGAGCTTGTGAAGTGACGGCGGGGAGGTGCAGGAATTTCCAGAGTCTGTCTTCTACGATAGCCTGCAGGATCTGGGGCCAGGACAAAGGGTTCGGCGCTTTGGATTTTTAAGGTTTTAGAAACCCTAAACCCTAAAGCCCTAAAAACCTAAACCCTAAACCCTACACCGAAGTTTAGGAAGATTGAGGTTGGGCTTAGGCGTTAGGATTCAGCCGAAACGGAAAGCTTCCCGGGTTGTCCTAGAACTTTTCTAGGTTGGGTTTCGGGACATGTTTTATTTTCCTTATTTTTTATAAGGGACCCTTTATGTAAATACTTTTCAGAGGGTTTAAAGGCCAAGCCAGCTTTGCCTTGGCAGAAGTCTGAGGCCAAGGGCTTAGGGGCTTCGGGGTTTGGGGGTTCAGGGCTATGGGGGTTAAGGGTTTAGGGTTGAGGAGTTTAGGGGTTTAGAGCCTTGGGGGTTTAGGGTTTAGGAGTGTATGGTTAAGGGTTTAGGGTATTAAATAAATTAGGGTTCGGGGTCTCATCTCGTATGTCAATTCTGAAGACTACAGGGCCGGACCCTGGTCTCTCCAGGACCCCCCCCCCTTTAAGGGCCTTTGAATAATTAGAGCCCTTATGGTTCTTAAAAGTGGGTATTTAGGGTATCTTAGAGGGTAGTTCGGGGGTCTAGGACAACGGTAACCTCCATCCTATGTAGTCCACTTCATCCTTCATAGCCCTTGTAAACCCCGTACCAGCACCAAGATCCTCCACAACGGAAGATTATGAGGTCCGTTTTGATCCAATGTAGGAACCTGATTAAGAAACCTTGGCCCTATAACCCCAACAACCTAGACTAAACCCTAAACCCTAAACCCGAAACCGTAAGCTTTTACAACTTCGGGTTCGGCTCAGGCTCCGATCAACGAGTTGCTGCTTTGGCACGGCACCTCTCGCGAGGCCTGCCGTTCGACATCGCATTGGGGGGTGTTTAGGGTTCGGTTCGTTCTCCATCACCCTAAGCCCTATAAGCACTAAACCTCTCGGTTTAGGGTTCGGTTCGTTCTCCAAACCCTAAGCCCAAAACCCAGAACCCCTACACCCTAGATCCTGGTAAGATCTGCAAAACCCATGTAACGCCTTGTAGCAACCCTCGAAAACCAATATGAGACCCTACAAAAAAGGGGTAAAACGAACTGAGTCCCATGTTACATTTTCACTAGATCCGTGTGATTCCTAGTCCCGGCGCTCTCCAGTTCGCAAGCATCGCGAATTCATGCAAAATCGGGGAGCTCCTACATCAGCTGAAGAAAGGCACTCTCTGAGGTTTTAGGGTTGGCTTCGTTTCAGGTCCTGTGCTGTTTTGTTGGGATCCCCAAACCGACGCTAGTGTCACAGGAAGTCAGAGTGCTACTACGTTCTTCGCAGGGCTTTATAGTGTCGGGTCTTGTGGGGCTCTCTATAGGGGCTTTTTAGGTCTCTTTCAGCAGGCATGTGGGTCCGCTAGATTCATGAGGAGGGTTACCCATGTAGCAGCTTAATCTATTAATTAAGCAGCAATTTAAGGTCATTGGATTGAAGTCAAGTTGACCAGCAGGAAGTGTTCTGTGAACCAAGTGTTGGTGAACTTTACGCATCTTCTGACAAGTCATACTGTTGATGATATAAATCCTGCGTTACCCATAATATTGATTATACCATAATTCCCATGCTATAGGGTCCTTAAGGTAATGCAGGGTTCATATCATCAACCGTACTTCGAATGCACAATCGCTGCCCGTCGTATGTTTTAACATCTGTGAACCTTCTGCATGAATCTTCCAAATCTGTGTTGAAGCGCCTGGACCTTGCCAATCAAGTTTCTCGAGTTATGTAGGGGCCTTCATATAGGGTTTTGGGTACTAGAAATATAAATATATTAAGGGACCCAGTGAAACCCTATTCTAGTTATTAAGGCCCCTAGATTATCTGCCACAGAAGCTAATAACGATCTCAGCCCTTCCGATTCTTTGTTATCTTCTTCATGGCTGCACCCTTCGGCCTTACTTGGGAAGCTGTTTCGCTGCAACGTCGATGTTTACATGTCTATCTGTCAATATCAGACTGACCCACCTACCTGTGTCACGCTTGTGCTGACAAGCATGCGCATATACTTGCAAACCTGTGAAGAAAAGAGGCCAGCAATCCTTGCTGCACCCTGAACTCTAAACTCTAAACCCTAGTCCCGAAATCTTAAACTAAACCCTAAACCCAGCACGTGCATTCAGACAGGGAATGACATTTAATTTACAAGCATACATGACAAAGGGCTAGAATTGGAGGGGTTTGTTCCTGTAGACTCCCGACACTCTAAACCCCAAAGGGTCCTAGGTACTGTTATTGGGGATACTTTCCCAAATAAAATAACAAATCCTAATATAGAAACCCTGCATTCTACTATCAAGGTACTTTTGGACCCTTTGGGAACATTGGTAAAGAACAAAAACCTACATTCATCACACGCAGACACCATTCTGAAGGACTCAGCGACATGGACCTCCCCAGTGCTCCTGAACCTCAAAGCAAAGCAACTTTAACAGCCCATTAGAAACCTTATATAGCCCTTGTAGAACTCTACTAAAGGAATTCTGTAGCTGATATCGGCCTTATAAGAATTTTCTTTTGAGACTTGACAACAGAACATCGACCCCTAAGCCCTCAACCCTACACCCATCAACCCTAAGATTACTACGGTTGATGATATAAATCCTGCATTACCCACAATAAGGAATATCCCATAATTCCCATAGTATAGGGTCCTTATGGTAATGCAGGATGTATATCATCAACCGTACCTACAACGGAATATGCACCCCGACGAGTCTTTGTCCAGGCTGCTGAGTCCATTGCGGAGCGGGGCTTCGAAGTTACCGCAGCTAGACCTACCTTGGATACTACGGGTTTCGGGTTGAGGGGTTTGCGGGTTAGCATTTAAGAGCCTAAGGCAACCAAAAAGGCGGCACTAGATTTTTGGGGGGTCTGCGTCGGTCCCAAGTAGTGTGGGGGCGTAGCAGGGGCTGAATTTTGCTTTAACGGGAATGCAAACCCTAAACACTTAACAAAACCCTAAATTCAAAACCTAAAGGTTCAGTATTGTAGCCTCCCCTCACCCAAGCTCTGCAGTCTTGGTTCCTTCATGAGGGTGGCTTGCACTTTCGGGGGGCTAAACCCAAACCCTAAACCCTACTTGGAGGTTCATGGGTAGTTATTAGTGGGGTTATAAGTAGGGTAACTATGTTTATGACCCATACTATTAGGAGACTTATACCCCTACTTATAACTGCCCATGAACCTCCAAGCAACCGGGTTCACCAGGACTGCCGGGTCTGGGATGTAAGGTCTTGATCCGGCTAGAACTTGAGGCTTCTGGTAGCTCTGCTGTATGCTGATCTATTGCTGCACTGCGGTGCGTTCATTTTACGGTCATTTTTTAGGAGAGCTTCGCGAAGAATCACAGAACGGAGATGTCATAGCTAGCCGCTGAAAGGTGCCTAAACCCGAAACCCTACACATCTCATTGTACACGGCACGGTGTCAGTATGACAGCATAGGCTATGACACCGACACCGAAACCTGAAAACACGACTCCCTAGAGTCTTGGAAATGGAGTATTATTGTTGCTGTCTGCAATATTATTATGAGTATGATTATGTTTATTCTTATTCTTATTATTGTTACTGGTAGTTGTCGTCGTCGTTGTGTCGTTCCTTGTTGTTGTCGCTGCTGTTGTTGTTATTATTACTATGGTACGGTCGTGTACGGTCAAGATTGTTCCATGTAAGGAGCGGAGCACACACGGACGGCGATATGGCCCTGGAGTCTACCTGGCAGAGGACCTGTCCAAGAGCATCAGCTATTGCCCAGACAAGGTGGGTTTAGGGGCTCAGGGCTTAGGGGTTCCGAGAAAGCGGCTGCAGAACAGCCCGGGCCTTCCCTTGAAGGCAACCTCCTGGGGCTTAGATAGTTCCCATAGTCTTACTTTGGAGGAATGCAGGCCCAAAGCTCGCCAGGCGGGATCCAAGTACGTGATCTTGTGTCGCGCGGTCTGTGGCCAAATCTATTACACCGAAAAAGGCTGGCACGACGAGGCGGGCGAGGAAGCTGCGAAACACGGAAAGCACTGTGTTCTTGCGAACCCGGGCAGACAGGGCCAACGTGAATTTATTCTGCTGGACCCGGCGCAAGTCTACCCGGAGTACATCGTTGAATTCGCGGAGGCCACAGAGCCGGAGGCCAGGAACAAGCAGACTCGCGTGTATGCCCTGACGATGTAAGATGCTGCGGGGCTTTGCCTTCCGGGTAGCACGATGATGACACCGTGCTTCTTCATGATCTTCGTTCGTGAAGATGTGAAGTCAGGTGCAACAGTGGTTGATTTTAGAGACCCAAAAAAGGCGTCCGGTGACCGGTGCCGTGAGGAAGGAGTGGCAAGGGACCCCAAATCCTCTACCGGCAAGAAAATGTGGCTTCAGCGCGAGAGCCGTGACGGGAGCCACGACTGCATCGTAGAAGAAAGGTTCCGAGTAGTTATTTCTGTCATCGGAAGACTTGAACATGCTCCAACCACATTCAGATCTGCTTCAACATGGCGCGTAACTGCAGTAACTGTAGTCTTTGCGGAAAGAGAGTCTTCAAGTTGTTGAATGTGCAGCCAATTTTTCTCGCTGCCCGTACTTTAAAGCGAGGGGGCTCCTCGCTCTTTATCCCTGCTCCAGTTACGTTTTTGAAAACAGTCGATTGTCGTGGCCGGTAGCATCGAAGACTACACTTACAGTGTGCTATTTCTCTTGTTTTGTAGTGTTACTATGATGACGACGACCACTACTACTACTACTACTACTACTACTACTACTACTACCGCTACTACTACTACTCCTCCTCCTTAGGTTCCTTGAAATACATATTCAATCTGCTGCAATAGACCCCACCAAAGCCCTCTTCTAGTTAGCGCAAACCTGATTTCCTCGAACCTGGAGCATCCCAACCCCCTATGTAAGCCCCAAGCCCATAATCCGTTTATGGGCGAGCTCGACACCTTCCAACAAAAAACATCTAAACTTCAGGCTTGATGATATGGCTTGGGGATGGCATCACTTTCTTATGGCGCCGAGATCTGCAGGCATTGCCTCTAAGTGTGGAAATCCTGTACCTGGGACGTGCAGAAAGCTGGGCTTTGATCTACGCGGTTACCCTAAGCCCTAAACCCCCTAAACCCTAAAACGGGGTTTTACAGAAAGGCCCAAGATCTCTGTCGGTTTTGTTCGGGGGCTTGGGGGTGGGTTCTGTATCGGGATTGAGCACTGTGCGGGTGGAGGATTCCTGGCTCGCTGGATTGAGGTCCACTTCCGGATGCTAAGAGAGTACGCCACTCGACCGTAGCAAGATGCCTAAGTTTGACAGACTTTTCGGATAGTACTGTATAGAGGGATCCAGGGCATCCAGCAGTAGTTCATGGGTTTAGGTTTTTTCGGGGCTTTGGGCCTTGATACAAAGTCGAGTGGGTGTCTAGTTCAGGTCCTAAGCCTTGACCCGGCAACTGCACGTGAAGAAGGTCTGTGTGGTAATTCTTCCACCCTAAACCCTAAACCCAACCCTAAGCCCTAAACCCTAGTTTTTCCAATCCCACAGGCTCCACATATAGTACAATCATGGAATTAGGTCACCCAAAGACCATCCTTATTAAGGTTTTAGGGACCTAATTCCATAATGGTACTATATATATGGAGCCTCTGGGAATTGACAAGAGGGCAAGTGGAAAACGGAGCGTGCAAGCTCGAAGCAGAGCATAAAGTCGTGCGCGCGGTTGTCCCCGCAGCACGTGTGCCGAAACATTTCGCGACCCACTTCCCGAAAGACTCAGCAGGGCCTCAAAAATAGTTAAGAAGCTCATCAGTGCAAGATAAGCCTAGACCATGTAATCAGACTTCCGCCCTCACTGTGCCTAAAACGCCTCCCGTGCAAATCTAGTCGCAGAGCAACTGAGGTCCGCCATGCCACTTGTTCTTCTTTTCTTCCTGACCACGCGCCTTTGTGCACACGGCGCTGCCCTCACGGAGCCGTGGGGCCAGATTGCATTACCCGAGTCTCTTAAGCCCCGCGGCCGTCGGCCCCATTACAATTTAGAGTTTAGGTTTTAGGCTTTATAGGGTTTAGGGTTTAAAGCTTTGTGCGGAATGTTTCTTCCGTGCCTGTCGTTGGACGTCTCGCGCATGCTCCGTGACCTGTTTTGTCAACCTCTCGAACTCCATTCAGTATCACTAAGACATGAATAAGTGGCCGGCCGGAAGAGAAGTACCCCCCCGCCCCTCACAGCAGCTCCACCCCACCCAAGGCTCCCAACCTAAACCCTAAACCCCAACAGGAGAAGTGTCGGGCAATTCCGGCGATGGTGAATCAAATCCCAGGCTGGCGAGTCCCCAACGTTTCACTTGGGGCTAGAAACCCTAAACCCTAAAACCCTAACCCTTAAACCGACTAAACCCTAAAACCCTAAGACCCTAAACCCTAAAGCCCTAAAAAAAAGCCCGAGAAAAAGCCCTAAAAAACCCTAAAACCCCTAAACCCAGGCCTGTCTGAGGGTGAGTGTCAACAAAAATCCCAAACCCTCAACCCTAAACCCCAAACCCTAAACCCTAAACCCTAAACCCTCGGCCTGTGGCCTCTGAGGTCTCAGGCTTTCAAGCCTCTTAGGGTGTCATATAGGGGCCTTAATCATCACCTATATTATTTTTAGGGTTCGCTATTCTAATTATAGTAGACTATACCCGAAAACTTTAAATTATTAAAGTAATCACCTATACTATTTTTTTTTGGGGGGGTCCTTAGTATAAAGTTATAGCATAATATACCCGAAAACCCTCTTCTAATTCTTTAGGCCCCTGCAGTAGGGTTTAGGGTTCCTGAAATCCTTGGAGCCTAGAGCCCCAAACCTTGCAAAAAGAAATAGTTCACGTAAGCATGACACAAGAATCATAATCACCATAGGGCTCCAAGTATACAAATAGAACCTACTTTGGGGTCTATAAAGTCTGTAAATAGTACCTACTTTGGGCTTTTCGGAGCCCCAGGGTCATAGTCTAACATCATGCGAATAAGGATGCTAGGCAGGCCTTCAGACCTCGAGCCTGAACTAGCAAACCTTCCCTAAACCCTACCCGTGGCCCAAAAAACCGACCTTTTTAAGGACTTATACAGAAACCATAATAAGGAACCCTAAAAAGGTAGTTTTTTCGGCTACAAGTAAACCTAAACCCTAAACCTAAACACTAAAACCCTGAACCAAAACCCTAAAACCCTAAACCTAAACCCTAGAACTTCTGGGGAAATCCTGGGCCAGGGCAAAGTATCGACATGCACCGCCAGTACCTCGTGCGGCTGCCTTGCTTAGTGACGGGGTTCTGTAGCGGTGGGGCGAGTCTAGGACATTTTCAGGTGGATAGTTACCGTTATAGGAGCCTTATAGAAGGTCCATATACCTTATGGAAGCCTTATAGAAGGCCTACATACCCGAAACTCCCCACCTGTAGTTACCTTTAAGCGAGCTCCATAGGTTTTTGGTGTCCTGAAGTCAATAACCCGTCGGAGCTGTGAAACACCTCTCGGTCGCGCTTCTCTCTCTTTGTGTACGGGGTGTATTCGTTTTCAGGGTCGTGTGCTTCTGGGTCCCTGGCGAACTGGCTAGCAGGTTGTTGTCCTTGCTGCCGTTGCCGGTTCTTGCTGTTCAGGGCTTGCGTGTGTGTGTGTGTGTTTTTGTTTGGTCTCCTTGGGTTCCCTTCTTCCCGCGCTATATTTGCATTATTTGTACCTGCGGGCGCCACCTTTTTTGATACGCCGATCGGAGCTCAATGGGAGCTGGTATTTCCCATGTGTTATACTTATGAAGCGTATTTGAGTTCATGGCATTCCTGAGAGCACAGGTACTTGTAGCGACTACAGCGATAGGTGTCTCTGGCAGGGCTCTCCCTGCACTGGGGGTCGCCAATGGGTCTATGGCAGTAGGAAGATATCGCAAGGTGGCATCTTGCTGACGGTGCAGCAATACTCGAACCGCTTACTTGCGTTGATCTTTCCGGCTCAGTGTAGGTCGAAGTGAATGAGCCCCCCTGGATGGTGGACTCGGCGGCATTCATGCAAAGCAAAGCAAAAGAACAATGTCACCGTGGGGTCTATGTAGCAATACTATGCTACCTACCTACCTACCTACCTACCTACCTACCTACCTACCTACCTACCTACCTACCTACCTACCTACCGATCTAGTGAGCTACCTATCTATCTACCTATCTACCTATCTATCTATCTAGCTATCTATCTATCTATCTATCTATCTGTCTATCTCTCTATCTATCTGTCTATCTATCTGTCTATCTGCTATGTATGCATATATATATATATGCATACACTTGCATCCTATTTGTTGTTCCAAGGCCTCGTGCATGAGTGAGGCTTGTAGCGTTGTTTATTGATGTGTTTTGGTGCCTAGAACTGGAGCGCCCAAATGGGGCTCCTACCTAAGATTCTGGATTCAGGGATGCACGCACGACGAGGGACAGTGCTTAACGCGCGTGCGGTTGTGTTTGTTGTGCCTTTTTTACATACAAAAATTGAGATTCGCTTTTATTGATTCAAGTATAGTGCCCCCCACGAGCCCCACACTCACATTTTTAGCTCATCGAACGGAGGATGGGAACACGCAGGCCTTGGTCTGT